CCTGCTGAAAGGGCTCTCAAAATTTAGTGGTTCCGAACGGTAGAGGAATGAGTTAGCTGTATTTTAATGAAGCGTCACAGACCAAAACAGGGTTTTTTTCTCCTGTTACGGAGATGAGAGTTACAGTGCTGAGAGATTCTTCTTCCTGTTCCATCTCCAAACAAAAAAATAATCTGTCTGCCCAAACCTGCTGTGACAGTGTGCAGAAAAACAAAACAGTAAAACCCTCTTAATAGTTATGCTCTTGTTTTGTGTTCTGTGGACCATGCTGTACCACCATTTAACGCAGAGAAAGAGAATTACCCTGCAGGAGAATTCTGTAAGCAGGGATACAGTGTATCACAGTATAAACTTTTTGGTTATAACTGAGTATCATAGGTATTTGTATGCTGAGTAAATCAGACATTTGTCTGAAGAACTGGAATTTGGTAAGAAGAAGCTGTAGAATTGTTGTAAACACAGCAAGACTTGGAGAGAACAACCTGGTGGTGCATTTTGATAACTTCTTTCAGTGTACTGTGTAACTTCTCTCCTTCGATTCCTAGCTGAAGGAAGTCTTCAGGAAGCAGTTAGAGAAGGCAGAATCTGAGATCAAGAAGACCACAGCCATTATTGCAGAGTATAAACAGGTACTGTTCTAGAGACGCTTTCTCATATTTCTTCTTTCAACCTGTTCCAAGAGCTGAATTTTCAGAGTTGCAGATCTCATCCTTTAAATAAGATACACTTATTTCGGGCTTTCGGAGAGCAAGTATTGTAATTTGTCATAAATCTTTTTATGGTTTTCCTAACAGCCTCCTAATTTAGGGAATCAGGAATAACCTGTCTTTCAGCTAATTTTAATATTGTAGGTGAATGCTTCTTTATCTTGTGACATAATGCAGTATAAACATTGTAAACCAATTCATCCATAAAATGTTCTGGTCTCCATGTTCTGGTTCTGTATTGAATACTGCCATTTTTTTTTAAGTCTCGTTATCAGCAGCAGTGGATTTGTTAAAGGGGGAATGCATATACCTGAGTGAGGTGGCATTTAAGAAATGTTGGCTCTAACAAAAATCATTGTTAAAAAGCACGGGTTATATTTTAGTATAGTCAACTTAAGCTAAGAGATGCCTTTTTCTGCTCCAGATTTGTTCCCAGCTGAGTACCAGGCTGGAAAAACAACAAGCAGCCAGTAAAGATGAACTGGAAGTTGTGAAGGTGAGAACGATGCCTCCACATGTGGGATGTTTCTAACGCAAGTATTGCTAAATGCCAGGGATACAGAACAAAATGTGAATTGAAGCTTAATGTAACAACAGCGGTGTCCATCCAGCTGCACTGGTGGCCCCACATGCATTTTTCATCAGATGTAAACAATGAAAGGGTTTATTTCCTTTCATGGTTCTTTATCTTGTATCAGGCAAGGTGGCACGCTCAAACTGAAGTGCATATAGTACTTGGCATTTCTTTTTCCTGTTGAAATGTATATTTTTGGCAAAAAATGTAGAGAGACAGTATTTACTTGGATGTTTTAATTGGAGGGGGAAAAAAAAGGCACTCTAGAAGAGAAAAGGTGCTGCTTCTCTAGTATGCACATTGGAAGGGTTGGAATTGACCAAATTGGACACTGTTTATATTTGGGTTTCTGTAATTTAAGCAGAGTTGGTTTAAGTAATTGGCACAGCTCAGGCCCTCCCCAGAGTTTCCATGGCAGTTGCTCTCCCTTCTCTAAACCCCCTTACCAGGAACACCTGCACTAGAGGAAAATGTTGCCTGATCAAGGAATAATTCCATCCCTCTGCTTTGTCACTACTGAGTAGGCAGAATTGTTTTTCCTCTGCTATAGCTTCTAGTTGTTTCTTTAGTACTCAAGCTGAAGCTGCTTTGTTGCTTTTTACTGACTTTTTAATGCTATTGATATAAAAAATAATTCTAGGATTGATGTTCCTATAGTCTGCTGAAATAACTCAATATCCCGTTTTAGTTTGTGCAAGCCAGGCCAGCTGTGCTACGTCTTCAGCCATGAGTAACTGGTTCACCTCTCCAGGTAGCACAAGAACCTTACTGCTGTGTGTCAGGCATCGCTGGCAGGAAAGGACCATCCCCTGTGATGCCGAGCAAGCACCAGCTTGACAGTATTGGCCCTTGTAGTGGAGCACAGGCTGCTTGCTTGCTTCTGGAAATACGGAAAAGCTACCTGGTGCTCTTTAAAACATCAAAATCTGTATTAATTTGGTCAAGTGCTTTCATGGAAGACAAAAAGTCCCTAGAGTGTAATTTACTCTTCTGAATTGTGCTGGCGTAAATACTGCAAAATATTACAAAGCTTTGGTAGCAAGAAGGCTTGAGTAATTCTAATCTAGGAGCAAAGTCTCTGTGCTTAGAGCATGCTAAGTAGAGTTTTATACTGGTTAATATACCCTGGCAATTGTTCATGGACTTCTCAAATTCTTTTCATGTCAACTATGAAAACTGCAGTACTAGTTCAAGTACTACCGACAGAAAGGCAGTCTAACATAAAAATGGCTCTTCCAGGAAGCACAACAACTCCGGAAACATGGATTAAAAATGAGCTTTCTGGGTATTTCAGGGTAAAGTGATGGCCTGCAAACACTGCAGTGAGATTTTCAGCAAGGAGGGGGCACTGAAGCTGCCTGCTGTAAGCACGGAGAATAAAGGCATAGAAACAGATGATGAGAAGGATGCACTGAAGAAGCAGCTGAGAGAGATGGAGCTGGAACTTGCACAGACCAAACTGCAGCTGGTGGAAGCCAAGTGCAAAATTCAGGTATGTGGAATCCAAGTGCAGCAAGGCAGTCTCCTTAAGCCTGTTGTGCTCAGTCCAAAATAATTCTGAATCATGCAAAAAATTAGTCCAAAAAGGAGCATGTAGCTGTACCACTGTGTACCTGTGAACTTCCAGAACAATTTTCTGTCTTTAAAAAAAAAAAAAAAAAAAGAAAAAAAAAAAAAGAAAAGCGGTTTTCATTTGTGTATTTAAATATCTGCTGCTGCTTCCACAATTTCAATCTGTCTTCTCTCCCCAGTGCCTGGGAGGTTGCAAGGAAAGTGCTGGATTGCAGGGACTGAGTTTGAGGATGCTTTTTTGTTAATTAATTGTTTTTTGATCAATTCTGACTATTCTGCTTTCTTAGGAGCTGGAGCACCAGAGAGGAGCCCTTATGAATGAAATCCAAGCTGCCAAAAACTCTTGGTTTAGCAAAACCCTGAACTCTATCAAAACGGCCACAGGCACACAGCCACCCCAGCAGCCTCAGCCGCCCCTGCCTCCCAAAGAGGGCAGTACATAGTTCCAGCCAGACCCAATACAAGAGCACAAAGAACAACACAACTGAAACCCTGGAGGATTCTTCCAGTGGTCTCTCCTCTTGGGGAAAGGACAAAAGGCAGGAGTGCAGGCTTGAAGTGAAATTCTTCGATGTTTTTCATTCATTCTGATGTGACCCTTTTCAAAAGGGGAAAAAAAAATATTCCTGTTTTATGTTGAATTCTTACTTCCCAAACTGCCTTGCTGAAAGCCACGTTCTGATACCTTCATACTTTTACACTTTATTTTATATGACTAGATGTTAAATAAATACTTCAAAACTAGGTCTTTAATACATGACTAATTATTCAAAATTATTTTTATCTTGCATAGAAGGTTTTTTCTTCTTCTGGAGGAAGAGAGAGAATGGAAAACGTAAAGTACTGAAGCATAATCTCTTCGTAGAAAGCACAGTGTAGTAAGTACTAGTGTGTGTGCGCCGGCATCTAGGATAACTTACGCCCTGGGACCATCTCAGAAGTTTATCGCAGTGACTGCGTCCTGCAGAGAAGCACTTTTTGTAAAGCTTAGGCCATAGCAAAGGTAGTCTTGTGCTCTCTTGGCACAGTTGTTTATGAGCTTCCCTGATAATTTCTTAGTTTTGATTGTTTTTTCTTCAGAAATGCAAGTAGTGCAGTTCTTTGTAGCACTATTGTTTAAAGGCCATTTACAGCTGAACTGGAATTTAACATAAAGTTATCTAGTTCCCTTTTTTATTTCATGTTTATACTAAGGATTCCAAGAAACAATTCCTTCCGCTGGGATAAAGGGAAAACTGTTCAACATTCATCTGTTGTTTTTGCTGAGAAGCAGAGTAAGGACCTTGCATAGTTTTGACCTTTTGCGAATCCTGTGCAATAAAGGGTAGGTTTTATGAATAAAAATAATGAAAACCTTTCCCTGGGTCTATATTCAAATTCTGAATTTGACACAGAAATGAGGTTATCAAATAAAAACCCCAAAAGGCTTGTGCTGCACTGGTGAATAAAACATCACAGAAGCAAGATACGTTTGCTAGAAGTATTTGGTTAGGAATCGCTACGTTGGTATTACTTATTTTTATAAAACCAAACATTTTCAAGTGGAATACAAAACCGAGACTTCCCCGTGGGCTAGACTTCTCTGATGATTCCCAAACCTGTCTGGTTGTTTTATATCTCTTAAGGTAAGAAAATTCAAAAGCATTTGTTTTGACTGAACATAAAGTATTTATAGAAATACTTATTTCATGGAAAATTAAACTATTGCTTGAACTAATGGAATATTTTTTTAATTATACCTGTCATGTCTAAAGATGGTCTTGCAGGTAAATATCATTGCTGGACTGAAGGTTGTGTATTAATTGTTCCATTCACAAAACTGTTGCAGGGACATTAGTTCTGTTTTGATCTTTCTTTTTTTTAATTCCAAGGAATGCCATATCTTGTCAGTTTTGTACAATAAAATTTAATGATACCCATCTTGTGCTTTGTTGTCAAGCATAATTGTGAATTATTGTAAACAGGGTAGTAAAATTAAATGTTACCTGTGCCAAAGGAATGGTTCTGAAAGGCAGTCGGCTGTTCGAAGTGGAGATCAAACTACAATCACTATCCTGATGCAACCGTCCTGCAACGAAATTCTCTCTTCTAAGATTAAGAGGTTAAAAAATGTTAATATTTTAAAATGTACCTGCAAGAACAGTGATTATCTGGAAATATTCAAACAGTGAGAAAAAGGGGGGGGGAAAAGCAGGAGGAATTGCTTCTGCAAATATTAACAAAGATCTTTTTCCCTGGTCACATTCTTGCTGATAATATTTGCATAAATGTTTCCATTCTCATGACTGTCTGAACCTAGCGTTAGTCATTCACTTACCAGTTCCGCTTCACACTCGAACTCGGTAATAAATTTGAAGTGACATTTAAGAATACTTGGTGCACACCTGATTGTTACATTTGAGATTCCTGTGCCAATGAGTGGCACTGATGGTTTGACAAGTGTCCGAATTTGTCATTTCACTTATCTTAAATCATACTTTAAACCCTTGATTGGAAAATTGCAGTAATAATAACAATTAAAAAAAAAAGGTTAAGACTGTGATTCCCTGAGCAGCTGAATTAACGTAACATCTCGCTGCTGCTCAAAGATCTCACCCCTCCCAACTCCCCTTTGTGCAGTTGTGTCCCTTGTCCTTGTTATGGCACTTACTGGAGATGATTAAAAACAACAGCAACAAAAGATGTGGGCATATTCTCCTCCCTCCCCTTAGTTTTTCGCCAAGTTAATGAGTTAAGTCATCTCAAAGGGTCCAATGAGTGCAAGCGGATCGTGGGAGCGGGACTTCCCCAGTTCATCAAAAAAGAACTGTTAAATACACTCACCGTGTTTCATGGAACTGGCTTTGACACAACATCATCTTTCGCAGTGTAGCAGCTCTCTGACTTTGGAAGTTGAGTTTCTGTGACAAAAATGTGTTTGTTACCTGCCAGCCACGATTATTTCAAAACGTTGTAGGATGGAAGCTGGCTTACATCAGCAAAAAAAGTTTCAGAAGGCAATGGCTGCGTTATCACTCTTGGCAACGATGTAAGGGCAGTAAACTATTTTCACCTTCCATCTGTAGAGCCAGGGTGGCGTTTGTAGCAGTGGCATTTGGCATGTTTATGTGAAAACTGTGTCTTCTCAAAACTACTGAAAGAATAAGGAAATAGCCCTATGGCGTTAGCTTGATGAATAAGCATAGTTACATTCGGAAACAAGGGAAGGAGCAGGGCTGCAGGATTAAAACAGGCAGACTAAAATTCCACCTGCTGTGACTATGCGTGCTACTGGGAAACTCAGCTTCCCGTGAGAAAACCAAGCTGGGTTTTAATTAGCCCTTTCAGCAGCGTGTGACAGAGCTATGCGCACACGTATCCCAGACCGA